ATTTTTCCGAGGATGACTGCTGTTCATGCTCGGACCACTTAGCTTAAAATGAGCTTCAGCTTATACATGAGCCCTGCGTACAGAGGCATCATATGTCCAAATTGCAACACCGCAGCCAAACTGAAGGCACTCTGCATATGGGATGGAATCATGTAAAAATAAATAGCAGCGCGCACCGTAATAGCCAGTGCAATCATGCGTTTTGTGCAATTTCGTCCACTAAATGATTGCCTGTTAATGATTTTCACTGCTTTGCACTTTGTTCTGTGCAAAAATAGTTGAATTGTTGGAAAATAGTCAAAAATTTCATGCGTCGCCATGTAAAAGCTGGATTTGAAACCTCGAAGGGTAAATATCCTTCCCAAACTTCAGTCTCCTAATTTCCTGGCTTTCGAATGATCTTTGAGACGAAAAATTCACGTGCTCGTGCGTGGGACCTAGGCATAGTTAGGAAATGAATTTGAGTTTGTGAAGCTTCTGCTTGGGCAGAAAACATTCTCCAGAAATTTTCAGTCTCCTAACTCTTCTGCCTCCCGAGATAATGATTTTTCCCGCTAAAACTTCCACGGGGACGTCAAAAATTTGCTGATTTTATATGGGCAGGGGATGCCACGCTAAAATTTCAGCTTTCTAGCTTCTGCAATTCACGAGATAGTAATTTCCCTACCAAAAATATCATAGGGCCATACGTGATACCCCGGGTGGCTGAAGGCTGAATCCAAATTTGCGGGGGTCATACATTGATAGGGGACATCGCCCTAAAATTTCAGATTCCCATCTTTTGTGGTTGCCGAGATAATAATTTTGCTCACCGAAACTTTCGCAGGAGCGTAAGTGATATCTGAGAGCGCGAGAAGGCTGAATTTAAATTTTCGGGATTGTATGTAAGTAGGGCACACTACTGCAAAATTTCAGTTTCTTAGCTTTTATGGTTCCGGAAATAATAATTTCCTCACCAAGGGCCGCAACTGATACGCGAGAGTGTGTGAACGATGAATTTGAATTTACAAGGTCGTACGTGGGCAGCATACATGTCCACAGAATTTCAGCTTTCTATCTTCCGCGGTTCCCATGACAACAATTTTACCCACTAAAACTTTTATGGGACCGTACGCGCTACCCGCGGGTACGGAGACGCTGAATTTAAATTTGCGGGATCATACGTGAGTGGGGGAACATTCCTCTAGATTTTCAGCCCCTAGCTTTTGTGGTTCCCGAGTTGAAAGCTGCGGACAAGTTGCTGCGGGCACACAAGCACACAGTGACAATACGCACTTTGTGCAGTTGTTTGCACGGCACAAAATGCACAATAAATGATCGCAACGATAACCCTGGTGCGCGCCGTTATTAATTATTTTCATGATATTAATGTGTCACACAAAATTGCCGATACCAAACTGCATCGCGTCTGAGACGGAGAAGTGAAGGCTATTTTCACGGATACTTACCCAAGCATGGCCATTGACCATGCACACAAGCACTCTAGTATTCTGTTTGCGGAGTTACAAAATTATATGTGTCAAATACACAAAAGCCTACAAACTCAATTTACTTTCAGGAGCGTATAAGTGAAGAACAAACAGCAACTCTAGTGAACAATAAACAGTAATATCGCAGCTCTCTGGAGCTTTTTAATGAGTGAAATTCTTGTGCTGACATGGTGGAAGTTTGAACTTTAATGTGCTTGTAAGGGTTACCTAGCGTGCGTGAAAAA